ATCATTAACAATGATGTTAGAGTGAGGGCACACATTGTTGAAACTTATAGAGGACATCATCAAGAAGTTTGTGGCCTTAAATGGTCAGCCTCCGGCCAGCAGTTAGCAAGTGGCGGAAATGATAATCTGCTCCACGTATGGGACAGATCCATGGCTTCGTCTAATTCTCCAACACAGTGGCTTCACAGGCTCGAGGAACATACTGCTGCTGTCAAAGCACTTGCCTGGTGTCCTTTCCAGGGTAATTTACTTGCCTCGGGTGGAGGTGGAGGTGACCGGTGCATAAAATTCTGGAACACGCATACTGGTGTGTGCTTGAACTCAGTTGACACAGGATCACAGGTCTGTGCTTTATTGTGGAATAAAAATGAGCGTGAGTTGCTTAGCTCTCATGGATTTACTCAGAATCAGCTCACTCTCTGGAAATACCCCTCCATGGTGAAAACAGCCGAGCTCACTGGGCATACATCGAGAGTTCTTTTTATGGTTCAGGTACCGAGTTATATATCTTATTCGAAGAGTAATGAAACTACTCTAATCCTTTGAAAATCTAAAATCTGATCCTTTTCTTGTGGTTGTCTGATTTAGAGCCCGGATGGATGCACGGTTGCATCAGCTGCAGGAGATGAAACTCTGAGGTTCTGGAATGTTTTTGGGACACCTGAAGTGGCAAAACCTGCACCCAAGACAAACTCTCAGCCATTTGCTCACTTGAACAACATTCGATGATGGACATCAGATTCTTTACTGCATGAAATTCCTAAGATTTTAGAAAACAAAAATGATCAAGGACCATCCTTTTTCATCATTCTTTTGTCCATAGGTAAAAATTCTTGACAATAAAACCCTTTACTGTATTCCTTCTACTCTATATGTCTTGATAACACAGCTAATAGTTTTCTATAATTTCCAGAGGGTTCCACAGACAACTACTCAGGAGGAGTTACTGCCATTCCACCCAAAACGCATCTTTGTATTGTTCTCATGTGAAGTTCACAGTTCATTGACTCTTTCAATACAACTGGTGTAAATGAATAGTAGTTGTATAGAATAGTAGAAGATTTTATTTCCTAAATTTGCAGATTAGTCACCAATTGTGACGAATGCCTGCACAATATGTTTATCTTCACCAGTGTAAAAATCTGACCCCCTTAACCGTGTTTCAGCTTATTAGTTCTTTTCTTTTCCCTTTATTTGTAAATTTAAGACAACTAAAAAGGTGGGGGGTTTAAGACCATAATTAACTTGGTCATGGTCACTGATAGTTGATAACGATCTTGTTGCTCTAAATTGGTCAGCTGATAAGGATCTCAAATTTATTGGGAATAAGACTTAATTTGTTATTAACAGGTAGTGAACGTTAGAAAAGCAAGTACTTCTCTTCACATTAACACAAAGTTACTCTCACAGAAGTTACCTTTCTGTACTTAAAATTGAGAAATATTTATGTAAGTTTGGACACAAAAAGACACTTAAAATAAATTTAGCCTCCGTTTGGTAACCATTTTTCTACAAAAAAATGCATTTCAAACTCAGTTCTAGATTATTTTCTACTTGTTAGTTAAACTTGGCTTTGTGGGTCTATATTTTACTGCAACTCGAGAATGCTGGTTTGTACTAAAAAATGTACCCTCAGTCAAGACACATGAATCCTTTTCTACTGAGTTTGAAATGTTACTCCTGATTCAGTTTATGCAAAATTAGGCTTCAATCTCCGACTTGTGTCGTACAATATTTTGATTAATCTCCCTTTTCAAAAACAAATAACCTTATTTATGTGTGTAATCTCTGTTTGTTATCGTTTCATCATTTATCTTTTTATGGTGAATTTATATAAATTTTATAGGTTAACCATTTTTTATTATGTTCTTCCCGCCTCGTATTATTTGTGAACATTTTTTTCTGTTCTTAATTTTGTGTTTCTGAATCTTGGCAAAACATTGATCTTAAGCGCACTTGGTGTAGGACAAATTTATAGGACAGGTGATCAAGATCAAGTTGTTAAATGATTTTATCTAATATTTTATTTTTGGTAGGCTCTACTGAAGTTCACAGTATAAATATTATTTGGGAAATGCTCGTGGTCACAATTTCTTGTTTACTTGGCTTTCATATCATTTGCTTTTTTCTACCAGCGCAAGAATGTTTGATAGACATACTTGTTGCTTTGAGGATCATATTCATCCATGCAAACAATATGCTCCCATTGAGCAGCAAAATAGTGAGTGAGGGGAATTTGTTGATCATTTTTAGATGCCAATAAATTGCCGTTTCTGTGGAAATCTAGTACAGAGATAACCACAATCTCGTTATTTTTAATAGAGAAATGCTATTCATCC